TTTAAAGTGGAAGTGAAGCAGTCAGTCAAGTTTACATTATTTAGTAAAGTGATTTCCACTTTGATTAAAAAATATATAACAAACATGATTAATGTAACCATTTTAAAGAAAAAAGGATGTTTTGTTATAGCTTTTAGAGCAAGGGCGCCGCCATCTTGCAGTACCACCGCGTGTGACGTCACGGGGTTGGTTCGCTCCGATGGCCAGTGAAGTAATAGAAGCATTTCTTTACATTTTGATCACACAAATGTTATTTTAACACACAAAAAATTTGGTTTTCACCATAATTTGGATGAATATTCAACATCGAACTGTCTATATGCTAAGTTTTGATCGTGGTATCCCAAACATTGTTTTCATAATGCCAGGCGCAAGGTGATGTAACCAGACAACGCTTCATCATTCATGTCGCATTTTATTGTTATGTCAGACCATTAAGACATATGCATTACTTTGACTGGTTCACCAGTTGTATGTATCACATTTTATGTTCACTTGCGAATACAATTAGCTTTCCTGCTATTAACAGGACGTAGTGTTTAACTAATCACCTAACGTTATCTGAACAATCGGACCAGTGCTGCTTCCTCAATAAAGTTTATCATTCTCACGTGTTTTAACTAAGCCTTGTCAGTTTGTTATATATTTTTTAATCAAAGTGGAAATCACTTTAATAAATAATGTAAACTTGACTGACTGCTTCATTTCCACTTTAAGTGTTGCCAGTAAGTTACTGTAAAAACCCTTTGAAATGTCTAACAGTGCAGGGACTGATTATTGCAAATGCAGATCCCACTGTGTTCTGGTTAAATAATTTTTATTTATTTATTGCTAATTTATTTAATTTTATCCTATTCCTAAAATAAGAAATATCCCAATATAGTGCCTTGCTTACAGCATCGCAATGTATTGCAACATATCGTATCGCACCCCCCGTAATACGTATCGTATCGCCAGATTCTTGCCAATACACAGCCCTATTTGAAGCTGCACCGAAACTGCAATTTGGACCTTCAAATCATTTGTCCCTGTTGACGTCCATTATATGGAGAAAAATCCTGGAATGTTTTCCTCAAAAACCTTAATTTCTTTTCGAATGAAGAAAGAAAAAGACATGAAAATCTTGGATATCATGGGGGTGAGTAACTTATCAAGACATTTTGATTCTGAAACTAATCCTTTAATTTGCAGAAACTGTGACAGAAATTTATTACTTAATGTAATGATAGTACTACTAAAACATTATTCTTTAAAGAATATTTACCCAAAAAAATTCTTTACCAGAATTTATTTACCACAAAAAAGTCAACACAAAACGCAGTTTTTCTGAAAAAAAAGAGCTAAAAAATAATTATATATTTTATAAAATTTATTAATTAGAGATGCGTTTGATTATTAAAATTTAACAAAAGCATTAAAATGGAATCCAGAAAATTAATGGAAAACACAGAATTTGTAAAAAAAATAAAACTGATTTAAGTAAAAAAAACAAAACATTTCATATAGCCTTAAAATTTGTATTTTTTTTAACTTATAATAAATTGTTGTTACATTTTTCATGATTTCAAGTATTTGTCAAATGATTTTTGATTTATATTTTCAATTTACCATTAAAACAGTTTAGAAAAATTATAATGGAAAAAATGGAATATTTAATAAATAAAAAAAACAGGAAAAAATGGAATTGGGGGGGGTTATATGTGTTTTAGTTTCTCTCACTCTGCAGTAACTCATTTAAACTTAATGGGATTGAAAAATATAATGTAGTATTCTGTAGCAAACCTAGGGTTGCAAAAAGGTGGAAAATTCCCAGTAAATTTCGGAAACATTCCAAACAGGCATTTTTTTAATTATCGGCATCGGCCGCTAAGTTACTGTTTGTCCGATGTCTCAGAAGTGGGACTTTTATTTAGACAGCGATGTAAATGCCAAATCCCATTCTTTGTCTACATTACTTTACTGCCTCTGTTCAACAGTTTTCTCTAATACACTATTATTAGATTATTTATTTATTTCATTATAAATTTTAAATTAACACTTTGACATCATTTCATTCTTTGTTTGTTGTGGGACAAGAGAAATATTATAATATTATACTACAATGAACAATACTTTAGTTATCGAGTAGTTAGGTTCATCATTGAATATATACAGTGGTGTGAAAAAGTGTTGGCCCCCTTCCTGATTTCTTATTTTTTTGCATGTTATTTTAAAAATGTTGTTGAAATAAAAAAGCTTTTTATTTTATTTTAGTTCATGTTTATTTCAAGTGTTTTTTTATGGTTTTATTTTTAATTAACTTGTAGTGTGTTTTTATAATCATGAATTTTAAGTATGTAGATGGAAAAATATTCAGATCACTACATTTTACTGTATATATATATATATAGTGGTTGACCGATATGTCGCGAAGGCCGATATATCGGCCGATATTTGGCATTTTTTAGATATCGGCATCGGCCGATGAGTTTTCCTGTTTGGCCGATGTGTTCGAGGCGGGACTTTTATTTTGACGGCAGCGCCTGCACACACAACGCTTCACATTCTCCCTCTTCATTGTTTGCCGTCGCCGTTTAACGGTTCTAATACGGATAGAAGTCGGTCTAATAATCAGACAGAACTGTTAAACAAAGGAGGTAGGTCTACACAAAAAAAGTATTATAACGATTGCTTTTAAATAATTAGTATTAGAAAGGCAAACACTATAATACTTTATTTATTCAGCAAATACGCATTTATATCGTTTAAACAAATATTTAATGTCTAATAAACATTAAATTTCACAAACCTTGCAGACTTAGTCGAATCCAGCTGTGAGATCTTGTGAAGTGTGCGTTTGTATCCTGCGTGATCGCGTGTTCTCTGTCATTTCCACTGTGTGCTGTACGTAAAATGAGTGTTACCTTGTCTTTATTTGAAACAAAATATGATTCCCAATGCACACAAACTTCCCAGATTACTGAGTGAGTGCCCTGTTGGTGGTTACAGTGTTTACTTCCTTTTTTTATTATTTATTTTTTTATATTCCTACATTCGTTATAAATAATGTAATATTGTCAAGTATAAGTATGTTTATATTATATGATATATCTTCAGAAATCATTCTAATATGCTGATTTATTATCAGTGCTGGAAACTGTTGTGCTGCCAAATATTTTTTTTTTGGAAACTGATACTTTTTAATGTTGGCAACAGTTGTTGCTGCCAAATATTTTTTTGGAAACTGCGATACTTTTTTTCAGGATTCTTTGATGAATAAAAAGTTAAAAAGAACAGCGTTTATTAAAAATATAAATCTTTTCTAACAATATAAATCTTTGCTTTCATTTCTTATCAATTTAACACATCCTTGCTGAATAAAAGTTTTAATTTCTTTCAAAAAAAGAAAGAATAAAAAATGTACTGACCCCAAACTTTTGAACTGTACTGTATATTGTTAGAAAAGATTTCTATTTTAAATAAGTGCTCTTCTTTTTAACTTTTTATTCATCAAAGAATCCGGGAAAAAATTAT